GGGTCAAAACTCCTGTGCTGCTCAGCAGTGGGATCCCGCCTGTGAATAGCCACTGTGCTCCAGACTGGGCAACATACATACATATAAAAATAATAATAACAAAGACTAACAAAACAACGTTTGATTTGGCAAGCAAAACTCTGACTCATCTAGGTGAGGTTGGCAGAATTTAAGAGGGAGTGGTTCCTGTAGTTTTACACTGCAGTTTCTACCATAATCTGGGCGTCTCCTACTTCTGACCTCCCTCTTCCTGGAGAACAAAGTGCTTCTCTCCCTGTGAAGGGTGCCCCGACATAACTACCCTACGAGCGGAAGGGAAGAGGAGGGGAAGCAAGGAAACATTTTTTGAGAAACGATGGAATGGAGCCCTTTACAACGTAAAGAAAGACGGGGACAGGGTAGGCCTCAATTAGATTTCCGCAGCCCTCCGTCCCTTCCACGTGCCTCTGGAGCCTGGTTAGAGCGGCCCTCAGCGCCGGCTGACCGCCATCTCCAGGAGGGACTTCCGCCCTGGGGCCTTTGTTCTGTTGCACACGCGAACGTCAGCGCCGGGGGCGGGAGGGAGACTGGCGAACCGAGCGCCGCATTTGCAGGCCAGGGCCGTGGGCGGCAGGCTCTGGCCTCGGTCGCGGCTGACCTGAAAAGCGGGCTGTTAGGAGGCCCGACCGTGCCTCCGCCCGCGCGCCCGCTCACGTGACCGCTCACGTGGCCCGGCCCGAGCGCGTCGGCGTCGCCCCGCCCCGCCGCCGCAGTTACGTAACCAGCAACCTAGCAACCGGCGCGGCGGCGCGGGGCGGTGGCTGCGGAGAATCCCAGGCCTATCAACTTTCTGCAGTCTCGGTCGCCATTTCCTCCCTGCCGGTGAGTGGGGGGGTGAGGCTTGGGGTTTGAGTCTTGACACTGCCATTGAGTAGCTCAGGACAAGGTGTTTAACTTCTCAAAGCCTCGGTTTAGGAACCTGTACATTTGAGATCTGTTCGTTGTGAGCGTTAAAGGAGAGGTGGTTTCATCATAGACGTATTTTACGGGAACTCAGCAATGCTCAGGTTCGATAGGACAGAAGGCGGCCAGCCCCATTCCATGCGAGTGTGACATGGGAGACGGGACTGTGTCTCTTGGCCCCAGCTCTGGGCCTCTCAATGTGTATCTTGAGAGGCTGACTCGATTTTAGCATTTTATTTTTTAAACTAGATTCAAGTGTTTTAAGATACCTTCTTCCATATAACATGACCCATCTGAAGGCAGTCCAACCACTTCGTTTGGAACTCAACCAAAGAAGCAATCACTGTTCATGCTGGGAGAAAATCTAGCTTACTAACCTAGGGGTGATGTGTGTCTCCAACGTGAAACATAAATATGGCCTCAAGAAATCCACATGTTGGGCTGGCTGATTAGCTCTGTTGGTTAGAACGTGGTGCTGATAACATCCAGGGTTGATCCCTGTACCGGCCAGCAGGAAAAAAAAAAAAAAAAGCCGCATGTGCAATCAAGATTCAAGAAATTTGTGAAACCAGGTCATCAAGTTCTATAACTCCTACAGTGACAGCAAAGTACATGTGATTAATCTTTAATGAAGACTGAAAGGCCACTAAAATTGCTAGAAGGTGACAGGAGCCAGAAATATGTGTCTAACAATGGCAATACATGGCAACATGGCAAAAAATGGAGGGGAAAAAAAAGCTCCTCTTCTTAAGCCACAGTGTCTTCTCCTGCCAGAGAAGGCAGCCTTTGGATGGAAGGATTTCAAAACCAGCCAAAGATGGTGTAACAGTTATAGAAACCACTTCAACCTCAAAAACATGCCAACTGTGAGTGAGGTCGTGTCTGTGGAGGAACCCACCCAGAGCTATTAGAAAGCAAAACCCACCCGGGCTCTTGGAAGGAATTATCAGCAGAAGGGCTATTTTCCAGAATGCAATGAGTCTGGTTATGGGGGCGGTGGGGGGTGGGGGGTGGAGGGAGTGCCTAGCTGTGTTTATATTTCCAAACTAGAAACATGAGGACCTAGGGCCGGCCTGTGGCTCACTTGGGAGAGCGTGGTGCTGACAACACCAAGTCAAGGATTAAGATCCCCTTACCGGTCTCTTTTTTGTGAATGCTTCTCCTCCCCGTCCTCCCTCCAACCCTTCCCTATGCTTGGTGGCGATGTAGTTCTACAGGCTACAAATCTTTGTGCCCTACCAAAAAAAAAAAAAGAAATTATCTGCTTGTGCAATCAAATGCAAAGTCTTGGGTGACTTCAGACCTTTCCCTGATTCAGTTCCAAAGCTGTTCACTCTAGAAGTCAAGTAGGACCTTGTCGAGCTAGGGCTGGGTCTGGAGCTCACAGACCCCTGCCGCCCATTGTCCAGACTGGTCACAAACCCTTCACACATAGGTCTATGAGCTAGGTAACCAGCAAAAAGGTCCTTGGAGCCATAGGTTTGAGAGCATGGCTGTGCCCGGCGGACGCCCAAGACAGTCAACGCCAGCCAAGGTGGTGGCACTACCCATGCACACTAACTCCACCCACACACAACTTATTTACAAAGAATGCTTTGCACCATCCCCAGCTGGACCTAAGGCAAGGGGGCCTGATCAAAGTATTCTATCTTCCCAACAAAGCCTTGGCTTTAGTGTTGCTAGTCACAACAATACCACCCTAAGGTAGCAACAGACTTTATGAATGTGCTCATAAAGGCATTAAATGAAGTTTTCCTCCCCAACATCACCCCATCCTTCACTCTGCTGATCTAAGCATGATTTGCTCTTACATGAGGCTTTGACTCCCAGAACCATGGATACTGATTTTAATCTTAATGTGGAAATGAGTTGTAAGTCCTTTAGTATGGCCAGTTGCGTTATTTATATTAAACAAGCAGTGGAAGCAATGAAGCCTGACATTCAGAGCCTGTTGGGAAGAATGTGTTTAGGATTTTAAGGGTTTCTATTGACAAAGAAATGAAACCGATTTTTTTTTAAAGATGACCGGAAGGGGATCTTACCCTTGACTTGATGTTGTCAGCACCATGCTCTCCCAAGTGAGCCATGGGCTGGCCCCACCTACAGATATAGTTTTGAGTTGCACTGGAAGTACATCAAAGAGGGGAAAATCATTTTGGTGAATGTCCTCCTGTTTCCAAAGACTACTTTGTGATTACATGGTCACGTGCTCCCTATTCAATAGCAAATGCAAGGATGGGTGATACGAGTGTGGAGACAGTGCCTCTAGAGGCCTGCTGTGCCCCAGTAGGCAGTGGGTCTCCTTCGGGCCTCCTGTCTGCTGCTGGAACACTTTGATGGTGTCTTTGTCCTCCACCTCCAGATGTGCTGGAGTGTCCATTTCATTATTTAATTGGTTGCCCATCAAACTTGAATCTAATCTGTCTCATTGACAAGCCCTGCCTCTCCCAGTAGGCCTTCATCAGCTTGCTCAGTGGGGTGTGCCTGTCAGTCTTGAACTACACAGCTAGCTGCCTTCAGGTTGATGTGGTGGTCGTTCTCGGCCTTCAGTCCATGGTTAGGAGTTCTATCCTTTTTACTCCTGTAGTACTTTCTTTATATCTCCACAACTTCATTTACATGATAAACTGTTTATAAATGTCTTTGTAACCTCCTTGAGGATTACTGCTTAATCTCCAGTGTTTAGCACAAATCATTAAGTTCAAATCAGAAACTGCTCTATGTGCTTTACATATATATACCTCATTGAATCCTCACTACACCCTATGCAATAGATACTAATTAATGGTATCTCTGTTTTACAGAGAAAGAAACAAGTAATTTGCCCAAGGTCACATGCATACTGGCCTTCAGGTATTCATGCCCGGGCTGACTGTCTTTACAGTTGGCCTCTTTCACCGCTATATTATATTGCCTCTCTACAGAATCAGCACTCAGTAAATGTCAAGTAAAAAGTGAGAGCTATGTATAGTGAGTTCATACTATGCACCGGGCTCTGAGCTAAGTGCTTCCTGGATTATTTCAACTCCACAACAATCCTATGAGGTAAGTATCATTTTCCCCATTTTACCTAAGAGAAAAAGAGTTCAAAGAAGTTTGGCAACCTCTCCAAGATCACACAGCTAATTAGTGGCATAGCTTCACTCAGAACCAGCGTCTCAACCACTGCACTCTAGCGAATGACACCAACAATTCAGGAATGGATTGGTGTCCAGTACGAAGACTCCAACAGCATGGAGACCTATGACACCTACAGCCCAGAGCCTGAAACACAGAGTTCAGAAGCTCAGATGTAACACAGATGACTCACAACCTGGGGCAGAAAGAGACCAGCCCAGAAGCATGACCCAAGATCACAGGGAAAAGGAAAACCACCAGCACAAGGGGAAGCCCTCCGTGACCCCATCCAAGCCTCTTACCTCGGGCTCAGGAGCTGGTGCTCAAAAGTCTCGACGGTGGAGCCCAAGGCGACGATGCCATCAAACAGTTCATTCTGAGCAGGGACTGCCCGGGTGCGGGCTCCTTGGCGGCGAGGGGCGGGGTCCCGAGGCGGGGCGTGCCCTCCGCGGCAGCCACCCGAGTAGAGGGTTAATGGCAAGGGAGGGGTCCCCCAAGGAGGCGTGGCCTCGGGGAAGGCGCTTCCTGGAGCGGCGAGAGAGTTAACTGCCCCTCAAGGCCCTCCTCGAGGCAGGGCCTCGGGTGGGCGGGCCTAGGGGAGGTGCTGGCGGCGAACGCGGCCTGTGGTCTGCGTCCTGCGCGCCTCGGCTTCTGCTTGTTTCGGCCGGGCTCCTCCTGAGGTCCGGTGGCCTCCCGGGCTGGGAAGCCAAGAGCGCGACGGCCGGCGGTGAGGCCCGCAGCGGGGCGAACTCGCGAGTCTCGGGCGACCCGGGACGGATGGGGTGAGGGCAGGGTGATGGGCTTGGGGGCTTTGCGGGGGCGAAGAGGCAAGAGCGGGCCAGTCGGCAAACATGGGTGAAAGGATGGGGTGCTTCGATAAGGATCCCCGCCAGGATTCAGCGCTTCACACCCCCTTCTCTCCCACATCCCTCCAGGTCAGTCCCAAACTGGAGCTCGACTTTCAGAACAGAGACGCCCCAGCAAGATCCTCAGGGAGTCATCCAGCTCCTCACCCCCATGGGCCAGACGGCCCTGGCAGGGGGCAGCAGCAGCACCCCCACCACACAGGCCCTGTATCCAGACCTCTCTTGTCCCGAGGGCTTGGAAGAGCTGCTCTCTGCTCCCCCTCCTGACCTGGGGGCCCAACGGCGCCACGGCTGGAACCCCAAGGACTGCTCAGAGAACATCGAGGTCAAGGAAGGGGGGTTATGCTTTGAGCGGCGTCCTGTGGCCCAGAGCACTGATGGGGTCCGGGGTAAGATGGGCTACTCGAGGGGCCTGCACGCCTGGGAGATCAGCTGGCCTCCTGGGCAGAGGGGCACACATGCCGTGGTGGGCGTGGCCACGGCCCTCGCCCCGCTGCAGGCCGACCACTATGCGGCGCTGCTGGGCAGCAACAGCGAGTCGTGGGGCTGGGACATTGGGCGGGGGAAGCTGTACCATCAGAGCAAGGGGCCCGGGGCCCCCCAATATCCAGCCGGACCTCAGGGTGAGCAGCTGGAGGTGCCGGAGAGGCTGATGGTGGTTCTGGACATGGAGGAGGGAACTCTGGGCTACGCTATTGGGGGCTCCTACCTGGGGCCAGCCTTCCGTGGACTGAAGGACAGGACCCTCTATCCGGCAGTAAGCGCTGTCTGGGGCCAGTGCCAGGTCCGCATCCGCTACCTGGGCGAAAGGAGAGGTGAGGCCTGGGGCAGGTGTGGTGAGAGTATTCTGTCACTCGTGGCAGTGGTTTGGGAAGGAGACTCAACTTCAGTCAAGAGCAGAGAGGGTGGGCCTTCATCTGACTTGCCTCCTACCCTGTTCAGTGCTGGGAACAGCTAAGGGTCTTAATAGCTGTTATCTAATCTAATCCTACAGCAATGGAGGTAAAACTGAGGCTTAGGAAAGCAACTTGCTCAAGTTCTCTTGGCTAGTAAGTGGAGGGAGGCACTCCAGGAATTAGGGCTTTACAGGAGATACCAGCCTCAGAGCAAGAGGTGCAAAAGGTTAAATGGGTGCTGTGCTAGGTGTACAGGTCCAGAAGGAAGAGCACTGAAAGTATCAGGCACCCGGGGTGTGTACCAGACTCCCTGGGCTCTGACAATCTCTGTGACACATACCTACTTCCTTTCTCAGACAGACTCCAGGATGGAGCCCCTGGGCTGAGGGCACCAGGAAGGAGAGCAGTGAAGGAGGTTGGGCTTTGGGGTGGGTCTTTGGGGAGGAGCCTCCTTGGGAACTGACTGGATCCAGGGCTTGGAGCTGGCTCTCTGCAGTTGCAGTCTTCAGCAGAAGGCAATGCCTGTCCTCCTATCACCCATGGTGAGCCTCTGCGTGGTGGACGAGGGCCATCTTTCCTTTCACTCATCAGCCCCAGCTCCAAGGCCTTTTGGAATCAAAGCCTGGCCAGCTCCACCACTGCCGATCCACCTTGGCCTGGTGCTTCGAGTGCCTTAGCTAGAGCTCCACAAATCCCAGCTCTGACTAGGGATTTGTGAAATCTTAACTGTGCCGCCCAACTTCTGGGTGACTTAAATCTTCCTCTCAGCCAAAGTGGGGCCAGAATGGAACAGGAAAGTAGAAGGGCACCTGGGCAGAACCCTACAGTTCAAGGATGTCTAGATGATGGCTGCACCCCTACTTACCTTGCCCCCCTTCTCTCTCCCAGCGGAGCCACACTCCCTTCTACACCTGAGCCGCCTGTGTGTGCGCCGCGCCCTGGGGGACATGCGGCTTGGCCAGATATCTGCTCTGCCCTTGCCCCCTGCCATGAAGCGCTACCTGCTCTACCAGTGACCAGTCATAGCACAGACTGTGCTAGGCCTCGATACCAACCCCGCACTGGGGGAGGCAGGGAGGCACTGCTGGCCTAGACAAGAACTTGAAGCCAGTGAGGCTGGGGGAGGTGAGGCTGGGCCCCTACCCCAACCCAAGCCCTGGGGAGCACAACAGCCCCAGAGCCACCCAGAGGGGTGGAAGGGAGGGAGCTGCTATTCAAGGCCTGGTACGCAAGACATTTTTCCAAGTAAAAGTCGTGTGTAAGAGATGTGTCATTATAGAAACCCATTCATGGTGTTTTGTTTTGTTTTCCTGCACAAGGGATAAAGTTCTATGGCTGCCTCAAAAAGGAAAAAAAGGGCCGAGCCCGTGGCGCACTCGGGAGAGTGCGGCGCTGGGAGCGCAGCAGCCCTCCCGCCATGGGTTCGGATCCTATATAGGGATGACCGTTTCGCTCACAGGGCTCACTGGCTGAGCGCGGTGCGGCTGGGCTCAAAAAAGGACAAAAAAAAAAAAAAAAAGGAAAAAAAAAAAAAAAAAGGAAAAAAAAAAAAAAAAAAAAAAAAAAAAAAAAAAAGGGAAAAAGAGAGATTATATGGGCAGTACAGTGAAGGAGGACAAACCACAAGGCTCAGTGCCAGGTGTTTATTTCCCTTACATGTGGAATGGCTCACAGACACAACACACACAACACACAGGCCTCAGCACCACGGGACAGGGTAGTGCCAGCCTCTGAGGGGGAGATCTTGGCCTCATGGTGTGAGAAGGGAGAGGAGTATGGTTTCTTTTTCCTGCCCTCAGTGGGGCTTGAGCGGACCCATGAGCAATTTCCACCCCTTCTACCTCTCAGCCAAGGAGAAGCCACCTTGGAGACATGTTTAGTTCCAACCATTATAGTAAGTGGAGAAGGAATTGGCCTGGTCCCAGCCATTACAGGGGAAAGGTGTAAACGGTAAAGGAAGATACAGTTTGGATTAGGCCACAAGAGGGGGCAGATGACAACATCAGAAGCATGTGCAGGGTGGGGTGGGGGGCAGTTCTTGGGCTTCTGGGCTTCCTATTCCCTGGCTTAGCAGGAAGCATAGGCGAGATGGACGGGGTTTATTGTTTGGCATTGATGATGTCCACGAATTCGGGCTTGAGGGAAGCGCCACCCACCAGGAAGCCATCCACATCAGGCTGGCTCGCCAGCTCTTTGCAGGTGGCCCCAGTCACAGAACCTGGGAAGGGAGCAGAAAGAGGGCTTGGTCAGGGATGGGGGAGTACACTCCATCCCTACCTCCATGTCTAAGGAGGGCTCAGTCTGGTTCTCAGCCCACCCCACCTCAGGCTGGAGCAAACCCACTCACCTCCATAAATGATGCGAGTGCTCTGAGCTACTGCATCAGAAACATTGGACTTAAGCCATCCCCGGAGCTTCTCATGTACTTCCTGGGCCTAGAACAAGAAGCCAGACTAAGTAAGACCCTTTCTGCCTCTCAAAGAGGAAAAAATCACTGGCACCAGGGGAGAGAGTCAGTATGGTATCCAGGCATGAGCTCTGGAATCTGAGTCAGCGTACCATGGCTCCAATCCCAGCCAGGCCCTGGAATGAGTGCCCTTGGACAAGTCACTCTGTCTCTCTGGGCTTGGGGGCTCCTTGTCTTTAAAATGAGGGGTTGATGGGGCTGGCTGGTTAGCTCAGTTGGTTAGAGCATGGTGCTGATAACACCAAGGTCTAGGGTTCAATCCCTGTACCGGCCAACTGCCAAAAAATTTTTGTAAAAATTTATATTTATTCATTTATTTATTTTGGGGTTTACTTTTTACTCATTTATTTATTTGGGGGTTGGCCCAGATAAGTTCTGTGGCCCTCCAGTTCTACTGAGGCAGGGTAGGGTGAGGGCAGGGCTCCTAGGCTCAGCTACCTGTTGAGGTGTTGCGGTCTTGCCAGTACCAATGGCCCACACAGGCTCATAGGCCAGGACGACCTTGTTCCAGTCCTTCACATTATCTGCAGGACAGAGATCACAGAGTGAAGGGTGAACAGGAAGGAGCTATCCAGCCAAGCACTCTAGGGTATGAGGAATGATGGTGGCCTATTGCCCCTGGTGGCTGTTGAAGGATTGCCAGGTGGCATCTACATCTGCAGGAGCAGAAGTGATAGAGACTATGCAAGGATTCTCATCCTCCCCTTTCCTTTCCTGGATCACCATGGGGATCAGGTCACACTGCAGAGCATCTGACCCCACCCTCTGTGTCTCTGGCTACGCTCAAGGTCCCTTTCTTCAGATACCTGCGATGACCTTGGTTTGCTCAAAAACAACCTTCTCAGTGATGCCAGCTTCTCTCTCATCTAGCTTCTCCCCAATGCAGGCGATTACTCCAAGTCCCTCTGCCAGGGCATGGGCCACTTTCTGCCCAATCAGCTGTTGAAGAACAAACTTGGTGAGACATCTCTCTTGGACTAAGGCATCTCTTATCCCCCTGTCCTGGTTACTAACCTCATCTGATTCCCCAAAGACATGCCTTCTCTCTGAGTGTCCCAGGACTACCCATGTGGCTCCACAGTCTTTGATCATGCCAGGGCTAAAGGAAGAGACAACGTTACAGTTCAGCAGACAGCCCACTCTACAGCTTTCCCCTCAATGAGGAAAGAGAGAAGGGTCCCCACACACCCCTTTCTATCTCCATCTCACCTGATTTCCCCAGTAAAGGCCCCATTAGTGACTTTGTAGCAGTTCTGGGCAGCCACAGCAATCTTGGAATCTAGCTTCTGGCGGGCGAAGTCAATGTAGGCAGTGGGGGGTGCACAGACCACCTCTGAGGATGAGACGGTAGCACAGGGGGATAAGATCAAAGGGAACCTTCATTCTCCAATCTTCCTATCTGGTGCTCTGGAGCCCCCTAGCCTTCACTCTTTCTTGGTTCTGTTTTCCTCCCCTTTTTCACCCCAGCAAGATGATCTCTGTTCACTTTCCAGCCCAGGCTGGGCCTGCTCTCAACTCCTAGAGCCTGCCAGGTGCCCCTGAAAGGCCACGGCCCTCACTCTGCCCTTTGCTCTTTTAACAGCTGTAGATCCAATTTCCTCGGGCTATTTTGGGCATGGGAACCTCCCAGACTCAGCATTATCTGGGGGCCAACCCTGCCTCCTTTCTGAAACAGCCCATCTCCACCTCCCCCAGCAAAGCAAGGATTTTTAGCAAAAAGAGAAGGGGCTAACTTCTGAGGTTTGTATTGGGGTCGTTGGGAAATAGACAAGAAGGGGATGACTCTTGATCAGGCAGTGGTTCCGTGATTTAAGTGGGTGGGAGGGGAAGGCTGGAGGATAGCACCCTTCACCGGTGGGTGGCAGGGGGCTGACTAGTCATAGAGGCCTTGCGCTTTCCCATTTCCACGTTGGTGAAAGCTGTAAGACCGCTCCTCATTCTCAGACGACTCAGCCTGTTTGGCACCTGCACAGTCCCCTCCGTGGAAGGCAGGAGTCGCCCAGGCTGCCGAAGGGAAGGGATCAGAGCGGGTGGCTCAGGGGCCCAGGGCAGCTGGGCTGGCGAACGCGGCCGGCCGCGCAGGGCGCGGGGAGGAGTCCTGGGGCTACGTGCGGCTGCGCACGGCGCTGGCGGCCGCGAGGGCAGGTAGCGGAACGCTGCGCGAGCTCAGCCTCCCCCCCCACACCCGGGGGCCGTAGCCAGCTTCTCCCGCCCGCCGCGAGGCCCAGGCTCCGCTCCTGCCCCCGCCTCCGGGCTGGGGCCGTCCCCGTCCGCGCTCCGGGGCCATCTTCCTCCGGCGACCCGACAAGTCCCTACCCGCCGCACAGTCCGGGGGCACCATTCAATGCCCCGACTTTCCCCCTCCACACACCTCCGGTCCCGCGGCTACGGGGCCACTGCGGTGCGGCGCCAATGCCCGGACACCCAGAGCCCCTCGTCCCCCAGCCCGGCATCCATGTCCACGCGGACACCCGGCCGCAGGGAGCTCGGAGAGGCCGATGCCACGCCCGCCCCCCAGCCCGGCCGCTGCCCGGCGAGCACGTACCGGTGTCGGCCGGCACCTTGGCAGCGTTCAGAGTGCTGATGAGTTCCCCAAGAGACGTCTTCCGTCCGTTCATCTTCCAGTTACCCCCCACGAAGAACTTCCTGGAGGGCGCCATGGTGCTGCGAGCCGGGCAACGAAGGTCAGGCTCACGGCGCCGCCGCGGCCACTGCCCGATTATATAGAGCGCGGAGAAGCGAAGCCCCGCCCCGTCGTCCTCCGCCATCTCAGCCCCGCCCCGCCCCTCCCGCCGCTGTCGCAACGTCCTGACGTTCCCCTTTCTTGTAGCAACGTTCTCGGGGCGCCCGGGGGCTCAGTCGCTGCCGCCTCAATTGCCTGCCTGTCGGGAGGCGAGAACTGGGAGCCCCTGCGCTCCGGGGAACCCTCACTTCACGACTTCAGACCCCCGTTGTGGTTCTAGGTGGAGCTAGCCGGCCGCAACTTGGCCTTAGACCGCATTGCTCACGGGGGCTGAGAGAGCGCTGAGGACCTCTCCCCAGCTCTGGGAGAGAGAACCCCCTTCCTCCATGGGAGAAGCTACATCCCTGACTGCTGAGCAGGCACCCTTCACCTTCCCAGGCGAGGTCTAGCCCTACAGTTGCTGGACAAATACAGGGTTCAGGGCGGGAGGTACAGTCCACATTTGCCATGAACTGTGCAGATAACAGTGGTTCAGAAGTCTGTAGCGACGCCCCCCAGGAACACCCACTCGGCTCCAGCTGGCCAAGGCCTGAAAGAACTACAGGGACTGAGACTCAGACTGAAAGCCGGATAGCCGCCAGGGACACCTGGGAAATACTCACTTGGGGCCCCTCCTGTGTGGCTGCTGGAAGGAAGGAAGCGCTTTTCACCCCCACCTTTCCCTTTGCTTTGTGCTCTCCCTTCAGTTCTCCATCTCACACCCAGTTTTCCAAGAGCTCTAGAAGTAGTGAAAAGTAGACAACTGGCCGTGGAGTGGCTGAGGAGGGGCAAGGGGACAGAGCCAGGTACCCTCTTGCTAACACAAGGAAGATAAGTCTCTCCCAAAGTAGCTAGGGACACATTTTAGCCATTGTACTTTTATTCGCATCATGTATTTTGGCATTTTCCAAAGGACACGGAAGAGAAGAGACAGGGTGGGGAAAAGACTGAGGCAGGAGGGCAAGGGGGGGTGGTCCCCATGTCCCTCATCTCCCTCCTTGCCCAACCACACAGGGGCAAACACAAGGGGGGAGGGGAGGCACAGATGCTCTCTCCCCTGGAAGAGAATGCACAAAGCTACACCCACGCACACACAC